GTTAAGATACGTCAACAAGGGTATTCTCACCGCATCCTCTTTGAAGAGTTTGTGAAAAGGTAAAACAGGTATCTTTTGTAACATGATTGTCCCTTTAAAGCTCATTCAGCAGACTGCAAGTAGCTGACACACCGTGTGGGTTTTTTTGCAGAAAATTCAGTAAATATTGGCTTGTACACCTATGGCCTGATTCCGCTCCCAATTATAACAGTGGAAAAACAGCTATAATCCTGCTGAGGTCAACGAAGCTACACTGGTGTAAAACCGGTATAAGTGAGATAAGAATCACGCTCTTAATGCTCTTATAAACTGTCCTCATCATCAAGGGCACCATTTTGGAAGGGAAGCGGGGAGCAGCAGCCGTACGCTCCGGAACGTGGCTTGCTTTTCATCCCATTCCCTGAGTGCTAAGGGAGTGAGGGAAAAGTGCTTGTATTCTGTGCATGCCTCTCACACCTGACTGGGGAACGGAGCTCAGAGCGAGGTAAGACGTATGCACAGCCCTTTCCCCTCACTCCCTTAGCATCCAAGGAACAGGATGAAAAGCAAGTGTTGTCCTGGAGAGCTTGGCTGCTGCCCCTCCATCCTGAAATGAAGCCCTTGCTCATCACGTATCCCTGTAGTAGTGACATGTATAAATGAACACTTATATCACACGTACAGAGAAATTAATTATTTGACCGTTATAAAAAGACTGTGCACATGGTTAGAGATGGTATTAACACAAACCTTTATATAAAATCACCCAGGGTACGTCTACACTAGCCTCCTAGTTCGAACTAGGGAGGCTAATGAGGGCGACCGAAATTGCAAATGAAGCGCTTCATTAGCATGTTCCTGGCGGGTCGCCATTTTGGAAATTGACTAGCCCGGAATAACTGCCCGCGTCTACACGCGGCAGAGAAGCGTGATTCCGAGAGAAACCCCTTAGTTCAAATTGAGGATTAACGTGTCCTCAGAGAGTTTGTCTCAGGCTGTTTGCACAGCACTAATCAAACAGAGGTAAAAACTTACCTCCCCTCCCCATCACACATGCTTCACAACTACTGGTGATTTCTGCTACAGCACAACATTGCCGTGGCTTTATGGATTTTGCTCATTCACCTAGATGAATGTAAAAAATTGTTTACAAATGTTTTTGTGATTCAAAACATCATTTTTTATTTCTATAGGTTTTTCTACATACGAAAGTTATAGGAGCCCGAGTTAATTTAAACTAAAATAATATAACTCTCCATGTGGACACCCTTAATCCTGTAGAAGAGTTCCATTTTAGCTTAGGCTTTCCCAACACTTCTAAGTTTAAAGCACAGCCACAGCAGCACTTTAATGCGGCAGTGTGGTCACAGTACAAGCACTGGGAGATAGCTCTCCCATATCTGTTCTGTTCATAGGACAAATCAGGGTGGCCGCTCAGGGGGGAAGGGGAGGGGGAGGGGACAAGGCACATGCGTCAACCATCCTATGGACAGGAGGGACACAGGGAATTATGGGGCCTGGTGTAGGGTGGCAGTAAGGGTTGCTGCCACACTTTCTCCCCCCCCCCCCCCCCCCCCCCCACACCCCCCACGTGTCGTGGGGCTGACAGCCTGCTGCGCTGTGTCCTGCTGTCTTCTCCCAGGCTCTGCTTCTCCACAACAGCAGGAAGTAGAGCAGGCATGGGTAAAGTACAGCCTGTAGGCAGAATCCGGCTCGTGGGCAGAATCCAGCCCACCAAGCCACCAGTTCCGGCCTGCGGACGCTGTGGGGAGCCCCAGGCAGGCTCCCCACTTGCCTCGCTCCACCCGCATGCTGCTCAGAAATGCGGCTGTGGGGCAGTTTCACTTTAAAAACTGAGCCCGGAGGGGAGGGGAGAAAGCTTTAGGAGCCGCTCCTGCCCCCAGCATAATCCCGTTGGCCCAACGCTCCCTGTTTCAATAACAGACAGCACAAGGGGCTCATAGTTATTCACACAGCACATGGCTGCAGCCTAAGCGGAAAAATGGGGCAGCCAGTCTGGCTGATTCCGGACGGGGCTGCTGGCTTCTGGCACCCTAACCCCTCCCTTCCCCAACCGTCTTCCCCACACTTCTTGCCCCCTACACCACATACCCAAATCCTCTGCACCCTCCCAGATCTGGCACCTCAATCCTCTGCCCCAAATCACAGTCCCATCCTGCCCTAGCTCACAACCCCAAACCTATGTACCCCCTCCTGTACCCCAATTTCCTGCCCTAAGTCACAATCCAACCCCCTACACCTCAGTCTAGTGCCCCGGGTCACAATTGCCACCTCCATCCAAACTCCATTCCTTACCCCTACGTCCCTTCTGCACTTAACCTCCATCCCAGACCCCGCACCTCTTCCATTGATATCATGGAAGAATGCTGCCCTCGACCACTTTCTAAATTCTTGAAATGGCCCCCCATCAAAAATTATTGCCCACCCCTGAAGTAGAGTGTCCCAGCCCTAGGGTGCTTCTCTTCCCACCATTGTGGAGAAGCAGGTGTAGTTGGCTGTGAGAGCGGAGGGGCAGCTGAGTGCTGCTGCCTGGGTCACGGCTGCTCTAAGGTTGCCATGCCAGGCTCTGAGTGGCCCTCTGGCTGCACAGCGAACCACTCTTCCATGTCCGGGAGGAGATCCTTCCCCTGCCTAGTGCTGGTTGACTAAGATGTGAAGCAGGACACGCCTCTCCCATCAGCTGGAGTGAGAGGGGAGGCAGTGTACCCTAGCCCTGGCCCCCAGAGCCACTGTGCTAGCATTTCGCAGCCTGGTGCCAGTCAGGAACTGCTGCTTTACAGCACTGTAATTTGTTTTGCTTGGGGAGGGCATATTTTCACCCTCCTAAGCAAGGAAGTTGCAGTGCAGTAAAGTGACAAGCTCTTTGTTTGTCACTTTGGAAGGGTTTTAAGCTACACAAATAAAAGCCACTCATTCAGGAATGATGGCCCCATACACAGCATGGCCAAAGCACCACAGAATTTGGGGCAATTTGGTGCACCAAATTTTGTGGCATCCCTCACATCTGCGTACTTTGCCAATTGGTAGGGACAACCCTGTATATCAGTCCTTCATCTTTGTAGTTTTACAAAAATTAACTAGTACATCTAAAGAGAGGGGAGGGCAAATTAGTGGATCTTAATTATTCTCTCCCTTACACCTGGATAAATCCAGATTGTCTCCTTTCAAATGTTACTGTAAATTGAATGGAGAACAGGCCCAGTATCATTAGAAGGTTTCTCTTTTCTAGAAAATTACATAGAACAACCCTGAAAAAGCCATGGTAAGTTTAACATGGTACCAGTCACAGCTTTGCTATCTGCATAGACAGGGGGAAAGATGTGTTTAACATCTTGTCAGAGGGTCATTTACTAGTGAAGAGAATCGAAGTAGAGAAAATGAGGGCCAAGAGATTAATTGATTTGCCCAACACCATAGGGAACTCCATGTCAGAGCTCAGAATATAAGGCAGGAGTTCCTTGCTCCAATCGTGTGTCTTCAGTCCACACCTTCCCACTTCTCTTAAAATAATTTTCATCTCCCCTATTTAAAAAAATTTAGTAAAGCCTAAAAAAATCATAGGTGGGAGTGGAAGCAAGGCTACCTTAATTGTTGCTCTGATTAGTCAAATGTTTTTAGGTACTGAAGTAGTTGAAGACATATAAATATTTGAGAAAACAGGTCAAATGGTAAACAGATTGGCATTTCTTTGTTCATAATCAAAAAGCTATTAAGCAAGTATGAAGGAGAGTTTCAAAATGTCAGTAAATCTGAGGATAGCAGAGATTTTCTAAGCCAGCAAGTTAATTGGTATTTTGATCCTTTTGAGCAATTTAACAAAATGGATGAGGCAGCAGCTTTTCCCCCCTTGATGTTATTAAACAAATAGGTGTGCTCCTTAGCTTCCTGTTCAATAGCTGTGTTTTGTAAACTCTTAGCAGGAAATTTGAGGACAAAACAAACCAAGTCAGAGAACAGAGCCATTCATGGTTTATCATGTGAAGGTAAACAAAAGATAAAGTCTTGTTTACTGTTTTCAAGTGGAACAGATTTCATAGTGTTGCAGACCTGAAAGATAGTTATTTGGGTTTAAAAACTGTAGAAAAAGATCTTAATTCTCACCCATTCACACACTGTTTCCTTAATCAAGGATTTAACTCTCTGTTATAAACAACTCTAATACAAGATTTACTCAGCGTTGCTTGTGTCCTTAACTGAACTAATTTTTTTAAGACGTGGGTTGTGCCCACAGAAGCTCGTGATACCAGCTACATATTTTGTTAGTCTTTAAGGCACTACTAGACTATTTGTTGTTTTAATTTTTAAATTTTTTTTCTTCATTTAAATCAATGTTCTGGGGTGGGTTTTTTAATTTTTTTTCTTCATTTAAATCAATGTTCTGGGGTGGGGCTGGGGATAAGGGGTCCAGAATGCAGGCTGCCCTGGGAAGAGAGGATAACTCCAGCCTTCTCTCTGCAGCAGCTTGAGGCCAGGTGAGAAGTGCCTGTCCATGGTCACCGCAGCTCCAGCTGACACAGCTGTGGAAAGGGTGCAAGCCCCCCATCTCGGAGATAGAGAGACACATAGACAAACTCTGTGAAATATACAGTTGATAGCTGTTCTTTTCTTTACCCTTCCCCCTTACTGGCCCAATGGATTTATAGGTGTCCCAGTCCCCCATCTTAGACCCCTTGTTGCCCCCTGAGGTCATTCTGCAGTATACCTGTCTCTCCCGCCAGACCTCCTCCCTTTCAATTTTATGAGAAACAATAAAGGAGGAGTTCTTGAACAAATGGACTCCCAGACAGATGGATGGACAGACACACATTACTAAAATATATAGCAAAGATCTGTATTCCTTCCCTTGAAGTAGGAGAGAAGTGATCCACTAGCACTATAAACACAATTGAATAATATCACCGTTCAAGATCCTCTCTAGCACATGAAAATGTGACATGAAATGTTGTATAACAAGTTAGTGAGTGAGGGGGAAAGATTTTTCTTTTTCATTACCTTCTTCTGTGGCCTCCTGTCCTGTTATAGAATGCCTCGCTCCAGGACTGTGACAGGGCACACTACTATTATGCTTTTCCTGTGGCCATGGCCTCTTCAATGGCAGGATTATGATGACAATATCATTAGATCACTGGGCTGGTCCAGGCAGGCACTGTGCAAATATGCAAAAAAGACAGCCACTGCCCCCAAAAGTTTACAGTCTAAGGCCTTAATCTTACAATTCCATCCGCCCAAGCTGGCTTATGAACCTATAGAGAGCCCAACTCACATTAATAAGTTCCCAAGGGGCAAGAGGATTCACCCACACAAATTCTGAGTTAGGATGGGCTTTATGTGTGTGTGTGGGTGGGAGATACTGATTCTACCACTGCTCTGCCATTCTAAATCCCTAATGTGTTTTCATCAGTATGTGGAGTCTTCAAGCCATACCCCTTCTTATGTGCCTTTGTCTATTCTCATTTGTTAATTCAGGAACAAGTGAATGAAATCAAATGGCAACACATTTACAACTGAGAAAAGGATATACTTTTTTTTAAATCAACCTCTGGTACTGATTTTCTCAAGGTATTTGTAAGGCTCCATAGGTCTAGCACCTAGGTTGCCAAAGATCCCAGGCAGGTGGCAGCTCAAGGCTGCCACACTGCAGCAGCTAAAACCAGTTCCCACTCCACTTACCATGACCTGCTGTGGACTCAAACAATGGGAATTTTGTCTTGAGCAGTTGACAGACACCAGCCTGATAGCTCCTGATTGGTTCCCTGCCCTGTTGACTCCCAAGGGGCATCCCAGGATATGCACAAGCAACAGTGATCCTTTAGTTGCCATGATCATTCGTTCTACTTGCATCTGAATTCCTGACTCTTGACCCCAGCTTGATTTGAACTTCACCTCCAGGCTTGGACCCTGAAACTTGGCTCAGACTCTGGAATTTACTCTGGCCTGCAACCTGACCACAAACACCTCCACTTCTCCCAACCTCAGATTTGCCCCTGCTGTGACTCTTGGCCTTACTGCTCTTCTTGGGATCTTCAGGCCTGCTGATAGAGGGGAGTAAATGGGATAATTGCCCTGGGACTCAGTGATTCATAAAGACCCAAGGCTCCCATCCGCTGCAACTGCAGCAGCAGACAAAGCCCTTCTCCCTTTATATTGCCACCGTAGTGCCCCAGTTCCACCCCTTCTGCCTGAGCACCCTCCCCCCTCTTCTAGGAGCACAGAGTACTCCCGCCCCTGGAGGTCTCTTCTTCAGACTAGTCTCCTGGGGTTAGCAAAGTAGTGCTAAGATCACATTATACACAAAGCACTGACTGCACTGCTTTCACCCTGAACTATTTCAGCAATCTGTTTTCACACTAAATCCGCCATTCTTTCTTATCTACCTTGTCTGTCTTTCAATCTCTTTACATTTATTTATTTTCAAAATTCAGCTGTACAGATACTACTTCATCTCTAATTCCTTAAACTTCACCATGGGGAATTTTCTCATGGGTGACTTTCATGTGCTTTTATATAATTGTACAATAATCCCACAGCTTTCTCAATTAAACCTGGTGTGTTCCACATTGCTATTCTGTGTGTTCTTACAATGCTTAAGTTCCTGACTGTTCTTATGGATGAGACCAGTCTTCCCTAAAGATTCTGAGATGATGGCTGAAGGACTGTGCACAGTATTTAAATAAATAAAAGCACTATCTACTTTAGAAGACCATTCCTATGTTTGTAACTTTTGGGAGGGTGATGTGGTTGATCACATCAGAACCATCCCTTGTTTATGCCCAATGGAAAACCCTCCTCAACTACCAACTGCTACCAACTTAAGCACTCTGCTTTGAACTCTACAAGCCCTGTTCTTTCCCTTTGCATGCTAGCAATTTACTCACCCCACTTTGCTACACTGAAGTGTCTTCCTTTGTACTTAGAGTACTTTCAGTGTACATCACTCCGCTGCCTCTATGGAAGCAATGCACACCAGTTAATTAGCTTCACCTCAAGGTATCATTCTTCTTAGTGCAAGGCACCGATACATGTCTATCATAAACCCAAATGAAAGTTTATTTAACAGCTTAAGAGATTGAAATGAAGGCAAGTATCAGTGAAAACAAAGTTACAAGTAAAAGAAAAACATAAAATGCCATCTATAGCCTATACTCACTGGAGAGGAAAGTAAATTGTTAAAAGGTATTTCTCACCCTCTGGTTAGTACAGTGCTCATCCAGATCAGAAAGCTGGGATCCTCGTTGCCGAAGACACCCTGTTGGCAGTTCTCCTCTGTAGTGGATAACTAGTGCCATTTCTTCTGCTCTCCTAGAGTTCCAGGCTATTGTCTCTTACCCCAGGAGCCCCTTCTTCACACTATTGTCCTGGGGTTCATTCATCTTTGTGAATGGATGAAGAAAGGATGGCTCCCTGGACATCTATTGTTCTCAATGTTGATTGAGTTATCCTTAATATCCCACCTCACCTGAGGTGACAAGTCTCACATCAGGAGTTTGGCAGCCTAATATCCAACATTTTACACATCTCTTAAACTATTTCCCATGTAAATGTAATCCCTAAGGAGATAAACATTTTGCAATAACCATGACAATCAGATAGTTCTTAGCTTTCAGCAAAGACTCCACAGGACTAGCTTTGGTGAAATATTGAGAAGATGGTCATTGGGGCAATATATCTCCCTGGGCATGGCAGTGATCCTTTTTATTCCTTGACTGGGAATAGAAAAAGACATTCTGGGGGAAAACAACACAAGGAAAGCTACAGTTATGGTCTTTCCTCCTAATCTGGAAACAAAGAAAGTGCCAAAAACCAAGTAAGAAAACATATTCTCATGAGATTTCCAGCCCAGTTTTGCTGACCTAAAGGCTCAGTTTTTTATCCTGGTGACACTAATGTAAATCCCAACAAGACTATTAGTTATTTTTTAAGTTTTTCCATCTTGTATGTGATTTCTGTAGAGTTACTGTGGATTTACTCAAGTACAACCAAGGTCAGAAATTAGACTCAATGCCTAGAAATTTTCAGAATTTCAGCTGCTTTGGATAACATCCCAGTGTTTAGCTGTGTCTCTCAACTGAGTCATATTTGCCCTCACTGTTCTACCATATACAAGACTGCACAGTTGAATAGTGATGCCAGATGTTTTACCTTCCTCAAAAGCATCAGGTACTGGCCACTGGCCAAACCCAAGATGTTAGATCAGATGAACTGTGATTCTGTTTGACAAATCCTGTGTTCAGAGAGTGAAACTTAGTACTTCAATGCAGAGTAACCAGATGCCTACAACAGTGTAATATAACCACAGAGGTAGGAACCAGATAGAAACTGAGCTATCCACTAGCAGAAAAAGAGAAAACTAGAGTTTGTCTCAAACTCTGAATTTCAGGGGTGATCCAAAATCTAGAGGCTTGGATTTGAATTTTGGAACCCAAATCTAAGTAACTTCAAATTTTAGGACTATTCAAATTCCTTGGGAATTTCAAGGGAAAAACAATTCTATCAAAAGAGCATTTAGCAGTTAGAAAGGACTTACTAGTCTTGCAGCTCATGCATATGCTATAGTGGCAACACTTCTGTTTTTACATTTGACACCAAATACAAAAAAGGTTTAGTGCTGTAGCTACCAACAGGAAGCTTGACACTAAAGGAAACTTATTTAACCAGTTAGTGGAGTCCTCTAGCCAGGGGCCTGGACTTCGTAGAAACATTTGACAAGTTTAGACAAACACAGATTAAGTTAAACAAAGCTTTTATGAACTATCAGAAGACTGATTGACTACGGATAGGGTACTCTTTTTAGACAAAAATCAATTCCCAGCAGCTCTCTGTTAAAAAAGTGCAGAGTTGTTTTTTACAATATAAACATCTTTTTAAAATAGCAGTTAATTCAGGCAAAACAGTTGGTACTGAAAAGTGACATTGTGTTTACGTACAGTTCAGCTATATACTTTTTTGTTAGGATAGCAGCACAAAGTAAACCATGAACAGTTTGAAATACAAAGTTGTATAGGAAACTAAAGAAGGTGGTAAGGTTTATAATTAAACTAAATTGTATGGTGAAGTCTATAAACTAAATACCTTCAAAATCTGTATAACCAAGAATTTTTCATGTATTTTACTAGGATACCAACTGTAATATGTTAATACAGAAAAGATTATTAGAGACTGAAAGAACATTTTATATTAATTGCAAAAAAGCCAGACTCTCTGAAAACGTGTCTATACTTGTATATGTCCTGATGCCCAGTCCACCCCAAACACGAAAAAAAAAAATATGGACTGTTGGGAAACAGATATGATCTTTCTATGGAATTAGAAAAACAAACTTACCAGTATGTACAAACACGTAGTGTTATTTATGCCAGAACTTATTTAACTGTACCTAAATTGTATACCGTGGGCCATACTAAATATAGAAAATAGATGTTTTGGGACTGCAAACTAGCACATACCTTTGGGGGAAATTTGGGGCATTTGGGTTTCACCAGTACAGCTCAAAAGCCTGTCATCCTGCAGGAGGATTGACAACACTCAGGCTATGTCTACACTGCAGGCTTCTTGCGCAAGAAGCTTTTTTGTGGAAGAGATCTTCTGCAAAAACTTCTTGAGCAAGAGCACATCCACACTACAAAAGCACATCGCAAAAGCAATGTGCTTTTGCACAAGAGAGCGTCCAGACTTCATGGACGCTCTCTTGAAAGAAAGCTCTGATTGCTATTCACAGAATAGCCACCAGAGCACCTGTGCTCTTTTCAAATGGCTCTTTTTGCGCCCGTCCACACTCACCTTTGCCTGTCCCCACACTCCTTTTTGCACAAGATCTCTTGCACAAAAAGGAGTTATTCCTCGTAGAAAGAGGAATACCTATACCGTAAAAATCCCTGTGTTCTTTTGATTTACTGTAAACGTACTTGCACAAAAACGTGCTTGAGGTGTGGACGCTCTGCAGGTTTTTGTGCAAAAACGACTGGTTTTGCGCAAAAATCCTGTAGTGCAGACGTAGCCCCAGGGGCTGAGACCTGAAAAAGAGCTCTGTGTACCTTGAAAGCATGTCTCTTACACCAACAGGAATCTCTCCAGTATCCAGTGACCAATCAGGGTACAGCAACATTGCAAACAACATTAACCTCAGTAGTAAACTAAATTTACTCTTTATTTTCTCATGAATGCAGCACTGGTCCCCATAGCTGCTACAAGATATCACCCTTAAATTTCCTTCATAAGTATTTGCCTCAATAAATTATGAGATATGGTTGGTATGGAAAAAGTGACTGCATTTAAAGAAGTATTTTAATAATACATAATCTGCCACAATTCATTACACAGTGTGGACCTTGTCTTCAATTGTGATACATCAGCATAGTTCCTCTGTGTGTCTGGTCCAGTATTGGCTAATGTGCTTTTGCCATCAGTTTATTAGCCTTTGATCTTAACTGACAATTTTAGAGATTCTTTTTTCTTTCTTGTGACAATTGGTGCTTCTCTCTAGAGATTAACTGAAGCTAATATTTGAAAATCATATTCTCCTATTTAAAAATGTTTCCACGAGATTTATCCTCCATAATAAGTAACTGTTAAGATTGTGCCCTGTCCTTACATGGCTGCATGTCTGAGGCTCTCACTGGTCACTTCCCTTTCCTTGGATCTTAAGGATGGCTGCTCCCCCATTTTATATCACAGTGGAATAGTTTGCTAGGCCTATCACCTCGCCCTCACTCAGAGTCAATTGAGCTCCTACACGGGTGTAATTTAAGGACTATCCGGCAAGTAGTTTAACAGTTCTGAAGCTGTGTCAGATTTAAAAAGTGCAGTTGTAAAATTATCTTCATTCATAAACAAATAGAAGTGCATAAAATCAATTATTTACTTACTACAGTACTTTATAACTAAAGCTATTTTATTATTCAAAAACAGAGTCGGTGAACATTGGTTCATTCACAATCTGAATGCCTGTTCGGTATGAACACATTTGTACTCCTTTGTCATTAGCTATTTACACAAACAGTGTTTGTTCACTGTTGTACTTCATCCAACTCTGTTTACATCACTATCTCCCTTCCACGACCATCTCTTCCACCACTATAATCCTTAGCAATGAGAGGGTTTTAAATTTTGCCTCAACACGTCCCTTTGACATAGGCAGGGAGCACAGGTGAGCTCTTAGAATGTCTAAGGTTCCCTTTTTCTATAAATGAAGATTGATAAGAGAGTCATTTTTATTGTACGTTAATCTTTCACACCTGAGGAAGTGGGTTTTGCCCACAAAAGTTCATGATACTGTGTATATATTTTTGTCAGTCTCTAAGGTGCTACAAGACTACACGTCTTTAAATTCTTGACACACTGGAAGACTCTCAGCCTCAATAATTAGTCAGTGTTACTATTACAGTCAGGAGTAATCACAGTACTACTAACCCCACTAGTGCTGGCCTTTATTGCCCATGGCTTAGAATCTGTGGTCTTATTGCCAGATATATTGATAATTGGGAGACCTGCCCCTGCAATACTCCATTTCTGGAGGGCAGCTCTATCATGAATCTAAGTTTGGGACCCTAGTGTAGGACTAGGCTTTCTAATGAACATCTGGCTGTTGATGCTTCCATGAGAAAAAAGATCACATACCAATAGCACGCTCAACAAGACGGGGAATGAAATAATCCTTTCTGTTATTTCCGCTATAAGAAAATGAATATTTCATTAGTAGGGCTCTACCAAGTTCAGGGCCATGAAAAACATATCATGGACTATGAAATCTGATCTCTCACCATGTAATCTGGTCTTTTGTGTGCTTTCACCCTATATCAGTGTTTCTTAAACTTTTTAATATCGAGGAACACCAAACAATAATTTTTTTTATGGGGAACACCAAGTATTTTTTTGTTGGGGGGGGGAAAGCCCCCAGGGAAAAGTTGTTGAGAAAAAAAAAGGAGGCTTGTCCCTTTAGTGGCAACCATTCTCCAGAGAAAAGTTGTTGGACCCCCCCCCCCCCCCCCAAAAATAAAATAAAATACAAGGAGACTGGTCCCTTTAAGAGCGGCCATTTTGAATTCTGTTCTCTCTGCGGCACACCTCTGACTGCCAGGGTGCTGCGGAACACACTTTAAGAAACGCTGCTCTATACTATACAGATTTCATGGGGGAGACCATTGTTTCTAAAGTTGGGGGGTTCTGACCCAAAAAGGAGTTGTAGGGGTGTCACAAGGATATTTATGGGGAACCACCTTTATGTCTGCATTGCCCTCAGTGTAGGGATGTGAATGGTTTA